CTTAAAGTTGCCGAGGTTGAGAAACACTGCTCTAGACTAAGCTAAAATGGAGCTGGGTTGTTTGTGGTTCAGGCTGCTGTATGAATCAGCGATTGTCTTAGCAAGCCACACGAACCAGGCTGCCACATCAACCCAGAATATACGTAGCACATCCTGCAGAGAGCAAGGGGGCTGGACTAGGTGACCTCCAAGGCCATTTGAATATGCTGTGCCCAAACACCAATTCTATGGCACTTGGACGCAGCATAGTTGAACACGGGAATTGTTAGCTGCTGTTCAATTTTCCAAATTAAAACAGAAAATCTGTTCAGCGTCAGCTGCAGGTGACTTCATGGACACCTTCATGTTAGGGGTGTGTGTGTGTGTGTTCTGGGGGGGGCAAAATATAGATGTGATTTGCCATGGCCTCCTCCAGGAAGATTTTTTTTCCCACTGCCAATCTTGGGATGTTCTGGTGGTCTCCCCTCCAAGTGATCATTAGATCCGATTCCGCTTAGCTTTGGGAGGCTAACATCTCAGCAAGAGCGACTCTTCCTTAAGGCTAATTCTCACGGAAAAGCCACCCTCCCGGCTCTGCCATTCAAAAACCCTGGCAAACGGTCCCTCCTGGCTTGACTGAATGGATTTTTCTGCAGTAAGAAAGATGACGCCCCCCTGCCCCGAAAAAACCAAGCCCAGAGGGAGCATCCTCTTGTTCACTGCCCGGAAGCCGGTGCAATCACAAGGCACGGTGCTTTTGTCTGGAAGCAGCAGAAAATCAGCATGGTTGGACAGGGTAGAGGAGGGCCTTCAGGGAAGCACCTTCGCCCTTCATCTGCAGGAATGGACCTGCCAGCGTTGGATGGGGGGGGGGGGGGGGGTGGAGCCTCCTCCAGTTTAAAATGGTCCCTGTTGGACCCACTGGTGCTCCCCCTTGGCACTACACTTGTGTTCGGAGGACCGGGGGAGCGGACCAAGGGAGCAGCTGTCCCTGGAGGGGCGCCCTGGGCCGTCTGCTCCAGGCCAGCCCTGCCAGGCCTGGGGGCTGCCATCCAGACGGCTTGGGCTTGGTCTCCTGTCCCGACTCTCCCGTAAGAGGAAAGCTCAGCGGTCAGCTTTGGGGAGGCCGACGGGGCTCATTCCCGCCCCAGCCGGTCCCCAGAAGGATCGCAAAACATATAGGCGTTGCTGGCCCGAGGCAGCCCAGCCGGATCACAAAGCTGCTGCTCTGGGAACCTTTTCACGCACAAGCACAAACTAAGCTGTCCATCAACGGAGGCCAATGAAGGGCCGGGCCGCGGGCGGCGCAGGGAGCAGCACCTTTATTTCCCTATCGAAAGTGCGCAAATTCCTCTGTCGCATGCAGGGTGTCCCTTTCCTGCCGAGCAGAACTTCCACAGCCAGCCAAGGTCCCTCTGCAGAGAAGCCCCGCCGGGCGTCTGGAAGGTCAAAGCGAGAAGAAACCGCTGGCCGGACAGGATGGACCTGCCTGGTCAACCCT